AAAAAAAAAAAAGACAATGTTAAAGGTCACAATACCTGACTTTTAAATTATACTCTAAAGCTATAGTAACAAAAACTGCATAGTAGTGATATATAAACAGATACCTAGACCAATGGTACAGAGTAGAAGACACAGAGAAAAATCCATACATCTACAGTCATCTGATCCTTGACAAAGGTGCAAAAAATCATACGGTGGAGAAAAGACAGCCTTTTAAACAAATGATGCTAGGAAAATTGGATATCCATATATAGAAGAATGAGACTAGAACCTCATCTCTCTGCACCAAAGTCAACTCAAAATGGATCAAAACCCTAGGAATTAGATGAGAAACTATGCAACTCCTAGAAGAAAGCATAGGATCAACACTCCCAATGGATAGGCATAGGCAATGACTTTCTCAATAGAACACCTAAAGTTCAGATAATAATGCCAAGTGTTAATAAGTGGGATGGCATCAAATTAAAAAACTTCTGCACAGCAAAGGAAACAACTAAGAATGTGAAGAAAAAATCCTACAGAATGGGAAAACCTGTTGCTATCTACTCTTCTTACAAAGGATTATCTAGAATGTACAAAGAACTCAAAAAACTTAGCACTAAAAAAAAAACCCATTAATGAATACGTAAATTAATTTATCAGACATTTCTTTAAAGAAGTACAAATGGCCAACAGATATATGAAAAAATATTCAACATCAGAAGCAATTAGGGAATGCAAATTAAACTATACTGAGATTTCATCTCACTCCGGTCAAAATGGCAATTATCAAGAATACAAGTAACAACAAATTTTGGCAAGGATGTGGGAAAAGAGAAACATGCATACATTGCTGGTAGGTCTACAAATTGGTGCAAACACTGTGGAAAGCCTCAGAATCTCTGTGGAGATTCCTCAGAAAACTTGGAATGGATCCACCATTTGACCCAGCTATCCCACTTCAGTTAATACTTAAAATGAGCATATTACAGTGACACAGCCACATCAATGTTTATAGCATCTCAATTCACAATAGCTAACCTATGAAACCAACCTAGATGCCCTTCAAACTGATGAATGGACAAAGAAAATGTAGCACATATACACAATGAAATATTACTCCACCTTAAAAAAGAATGAAGTTATGGTATTTGCAGGTAAATGGATGGAACTAGAGAATGTCATGCTAAGAGAAATAAGCCAATCCCAAAAAACCAAAAGCCAAATGCTTTCTCTTATAAGTGGATGCTGCTCCATAGCAGGAGGATAGGGAAGAATGAAGGAACTTTGGTTTGTGTAGAGGGGATTGAGGGTGGGGTGCGGTTGTGGGGATGGGAAGGATGGTAGAAAGACATTATTACCCTATATACATATATGATTACACTACTGGAGTGTTGAGAGCCACAGCCAAAGGGGCCCCAGCAAACTTCCAGCTGCCAACTGATTGGCTTCTCTGCGGTGATGCTCTTTGGGCTGTTTCCCTGCCCTTTCAGACCACGGAACTGCTCATTGGGGGACTTTTTTTTGCTCCGCCCATGCGACCCAGCCAATTGGCCTCAAGAGCAGGAGGAGTGGGGGAGGTTGAGAGGCTTGTGGGAAGCCAGTGGTGGCAGTTGGGCTCTGAGGGTTTTTCCTGAGGAGCTGTGTGGTGTGGTGTGTGTGTTCTAAAAATAAAGTTCGTTTCTTTTGACAAGTGGCTCCTGAATTGTGCCCAGCCAGACTGCGGCACTGGAGTGACTCTATTCCATGTACAGCCAGAGGAATGAGAAGTTGTACTCCATTTGTGTACTATATGTCAAAATACATTCTACTGTAAAAGAAATAAATTAATATTTAAAAATCATGGGGCAAAAATAATTAAATAAAAATTTCTCAGCAAAAGTAACAATGAGGTGAAGAGAAAGCCTACAGAATGGGAACAAATTTTACCACATACACATCAGATAGAGCACTAATCTCCAAGATATATAAAGAACTCTAAAAACGTACCACCAAAAAATAACCCAATCAATAAATGGGGGTGCTGGGGATACAGCTCAATTGGTAGAGTGCTTGCCTCACATGCACAAGGCCCTGGGTTCAATCCCCAGGACCACAACAGAAGGAGGTGGGGGCTAAGGAACTGAAAAGATACTTCTCAGAAGATATACAATCAATCAACAAATATATGAAAAAAATGTTCAACATCTCTAGTAATTAGAGAAATGAAAATCAAAACTACTCTAAGATTTCATCTCACTTCAGTCAGAATGGTAATTATCAAGACAAGCAACAGTAAGTGTAGGCAAGGATGTGGGGGAAAAGGCACACCTTTACATTGCTGGTAGAACTGCAAATTGGTACAACTAATCTGGAAAATAGTATGGCGATTCCTTAGAAAACTTGGAATGGAACCATCATTTGACCCAACTATCCCACCCTTTAGTTTATACCCAAAGAACTTAAAGACAGCATATTACAGTGATGCAACCACATATATGTTTATAGCGGCACAATTTACAATAGCTAAGTTGTGGAAACAAACTAGATGCCCTTCAATAGATGAATGGATAAACTATGGTGTGTGTGTGTGTGTGTGTGTGTGTGTTTATAATGGAATATTAATCAGCATTGAAAAAGAATAAAATTATGGCATTTGCAGGTAAATGGATGGAGTTGGAACTAATAAGTGGATGCTGATCCATAATGTTGTTGGGGCATGGGAGGAATGCAGAAACTTTAGGCAGGGCAAATGGGAGAGACAGGAAGGGAGGGGGAATGGAGATAGGAAAGATGGTGGAATGACACAGATATCATTACATGGTGTGACTCTACTTCATGTACAACCAGATAAACGAAAAATTGTACTCCACTTTTGTACTGTGAATCTAAATTCATTCTGCTGTCATGTACAACTAGAAAAAAATCATTTAAAAAAAAGAACAAATTATTCCATTTCCAAATGAAATTTGGAGGAAATACAAAGGCTTAGAGCCATTCTGTCAAATATTATCATACTCAGAAATGGCTTTCAGGCAAAGACCAAATCCAAAGTGAAGCAGTGAGATTCTTAGTTCCAAGATCTCAGAAAGATGACAGTGCTTGTTAAAGACATTTCAGACACAGAAATGGCCCTCTGTCTTACAGACATACCTTGTAGAAGTTGCCCAAGGCTTTTTATAATCTTATGTCACAAGGAGGCCAACATAGAAAAGGATGTTTCCAATAGACTTTTTTGTGGTTTTGAGTAATGGAATAATCATAAGTTGACACATAAGTTCACAGGTAGAAAAAAGGGAATATACCAGCTTGGGCCGATGGTGTAAGGCCTTTGGATCCTCAGATTTCTGAGCAGGGAGTAGGCTAAGGACACTACACAGCTGCAAACATGAAAAACCTTTATGAAAAACAGATTTATAGGGCAGGACCAAGAGCCTGGGAGAATAACCACTGGGGAGCATAGTAGAATGGCCATGTGTAGTAGCTGGGCTTCAGAATTGCTATGGACAAATGATGTACATGAAAATTTTACATTTTTCTTTTTTTTTTAAGAGAGAGAATTTTTATTTTTATTTTTTAGTTTTCGGCGGACACAACATCTTTGTATGTGGTGCTGAGGATAGAACACGGGCTGCACACATGCCAGGCAAGCATGCTACCGCTTGAGCCACATCCCCAGCCCAAATTTTACATTTTTCAATGGCAATGTATAGAATAGTGATGTTATGGCCCATAACATTAATTGTACCTGGAGTGAACAAAATAGATAACCTATCACTTAAGTTCAAAGGTCTTCAGACTGAGAGTATTGGAAGTCAAGGAGCTGTACCCAAACTTCATCCATACGTAGACCTGATTAGACAAGATCCCAGACTTCAGGCTGGTATAATGGGCTACAACTGGAGGTCTTTGGAAAAGGCATGAGTTTATTTTGCCCATGAGATATGAATTACTAAGACCAAATGATAGACTGAAAATATTATTGCAACATCTACCCCACATGTTCATTTTAAAATGTAATGAAGTAGGTAATCTATATGCCTGGTCTTTGACAGGCAGAATTGTAATGAAATGATGCTACATGACTTGGTAGGCTAGATTGTGCACAAAAGGCAATACAGCTTTGGACAAATTTCCTGGGCACTCACTAGGGCCCCCTAAAAGACCACAATGCCCTGAGTGCAACATGCCATAAGCAAGCCCACACAATCCAGTCATGGCAAAATCTCAAAATGACTAAATGCTAGAGTGATGGCCAGGGACCAGCGGCTCTGGTGGTCCAGGTTCAGCTCCATCTAGTACATAACTGCAAACTTGAAACAGAGTCAAATGACTCACCTGAATCCTTCCTTAATTCCCAAACTCCCCCAACCCCCAAAATCTAAGATAGTAAATGACTATCTTAAGTCATCAAATTCTAGGATGGTTTGTAGCAAGTTAGTTGGAAAATGTTTCTGCCATACAATTTCAGTTCACCTGAACCAGAAACAAATACTGAAATTACTTAACTTTAACGTTTATTCCTGTGTAATTTACAAACTTTGAGAACATGATTACTATAGTGTGAATCTTGAATGTTCCCTAAGGGCCTTGTGTTAAGTGCTTGGTCACTATAGTGGTGCCAAGCCAGTTCTAATTTCACTGGGGGTGAAATGCACTTGAAGGGTCTTGGGAGAAAATGGCCTCTTCTTTCTCTTTGCTCCCTTACTTCCAATGTTAGTGGTTTTGCTCTGCCAGGATGTACTACCTCACCATGGACCCAAACTACAAGTTTAACAAACTATGGACTTGAACCTCCTAAACTATGAGCCAAAATAAACTTTCTCTTTGATTAGATTAGGTATTTTGTTAGTGGTGGAAAGCTGAGACAACTTGCTTTTTAAAGGCATTTAGTTATTTACTACATACTGATTTATCTACATGGATTATATTCATCTTATTTAATATTCACACATAACCTTATTTTCAATCCCTACCAAACACCACTTATAATTGTACTTAGAGAGAAATGAACTGCAAATAAAACCATAAAATGGAGGTGGGGCATATTTCTTTACATTTTATTTACCATAAACACTAATAACAGCAAATACTAGAGAAAGCCTTTTTAATAATTTGATGATGTAAAGCCAGACACTTAAAATAATGCTTGCTCCCCCGACCCACCCACCCCAATTCCACATGCAGATATCATTGATTGCTATATACAATGATTCTTGAGCATCAGTTTCTTGATAGGTTTGAGTATCTTTGCTCTGTATCTTAAAAACAATTTCAAACTGTACAAAATCATGGTATAATACCATCATTCATAGCATTCCCTATGGTGATTACATTTACACAATATTAACACCAAAATCCATGTCTTACAAAATATCATAATAAGTCAAACCACAAAAACCCAAGATTTAGTTTTAAATGTTTATGAAGACTGCTGCTGAGCTCAAAAGCATGCAGGTATTCATGACCACCTAGAGGAAGCTGGATATTGAAACTCCTTCAGTAGGTCCAATGATGTAATTTTTCACTCCTCCCAAGTATCTCCATATTTGTTTACTTTGACTAGGAAAAAAGCACAAATAATTGATGATTCCAAACAGTAATAAGTTAAAGACACTATGTTGTTTGTTGTTGTACTGAAAATTGTTTTCCCTCTCATTTCCCTCTCATAAAAGGGGCTGGTTAGACTTCTGTGAACTAGGGGTTATTCATAACTATAAATGCATTTTATCAAGAACTTTATATAAATACTCGATCCTCATAATAATCTTATAAAGTAAACACAATTCTAACTATAAGGCTTAGAAAACAGATTAGTAACTTGCCCAAGGTACACACCTTAACAGGTAGAACCAAAATTGAAGTAGGTCAATTCAAGTTCAAAGCCTGGGTGCCTTTACAACTTTACTACACATTAGTAAAGGTGATATATATTATAGCTTATACAAAAGAAGTTACCAGAAATAAAAATAATAAATTTGAATTTTATTTTTCAAAAATATAAACAAATGGTCAAGTCTTCAAATTATGGTTACTCTTCTCTTGCATTAGTTGTCAAACTACAAGAAGGAAATTGATGCCAATATTCCCGAACTTTACATAAAATTAAAATGTGAAACATGCTGTCTTTTCTTTTCTATATAGGCTCCATGGGTGAATTGTTCAGAGGACCAAAGTAATCATAACAATGTAAAGAAGCAATTATCATAATGTGAATCCTTCAAAAAAATACATGGTGTCAAAACTTTCAGTCAAAACTTTCATTATTATACTAAGATATTATATACCCCTTTTCTTCACATTTTGCCTTTTCCCCTTGCTCTCAATTCTCATGAATATGCGGTGAAATTTTCTAGAAGCTATATAATGTGTGGTAATGTTTCTCTGACAGCTAACAGAATATATGCTTATGTATTTGTCTGAATTTCTAATTAGACAAATACCAATAAATATAGTCCACATACACTGAAGCTGAAAACTTTTAGTGAAACTTCCACACCATGAGTTTACACTGTACTAATGTTAAATTTTCTATCTAGATTCAAGAATATTGTAGGGAAAAAAAAAAATCAAAGAAACAGATTTTTTGAATTATTTAAAGCACACAAAAAAAATTTTTATTTATAAAGAAAAAAGTTCATAGTTTTTTTTGTTCTAAGGATTGAACTCAGGGGCACTCGAACACTAAGTCACATCCCCAGCCCTATTTTATATTTTATTTAGAGACAAGGTCTCACTGAGTTGCTTGGCGCCTCGAGTTTTTGCTGAGGCTGGCTTTGAACTTGAGATCCTCCTGCCTCAGCCTCCAGAGCCGCTGGGATTACAGGCATTACCACGCCCAGCAAAAGTTCATACTTTTACATTATTGTGTCATGTAAAATAACTTTTAAGACTGTTAGTTAAAACCAAAAATGTCAAAAGTCAGCAAGTGCCAAAGTGTCCACCTTATTTTCTTTTTTTAATCTCTATTACAACCCAATGCCCAACCAAAATGCTCCACTACTGGTGAGTGCAAGGTACTACACTATGCAGACAAAAGATTATAAAAATGAGAAAAATACTACTTCTTACCCTCAAGGAGCTTACAGTCTAAACCCTCGAATTATTAAGCAGAACAAAGAATCAATAAGTCTTGACATAATACAGAGAAAAGGTCATTGTATGCATAAAGTTTATATTAAACATTTTTTATGACAAACAACAATAAGCATTATAAATTACAAACCTATTACAAAAATGTTTTTACATCAAAATTATGTAGACATCATTTAATTATTATGTAATATTGTTACAAAAGCAATTCTAAGTGAAGTAACCATTAGCAATGAGAAATGAGAAAACTGTCTTAAGACTAGGGAATATAACCCAGTGGCAGAGTGCTAGCCTAATGCATGTGGCCCTGGTTTAGATCCCTAGTGACCACCAACCCCATACTTAGGATTTTTACATAATTTTGAAATCTTTATGGCATGTGGCTCTCCAGAAGGCACTAGTGCTGAGGATTAAACCCAGGGCCTTGTGCATGTCAGGCAAATACTCTACCATTCAGCTACATCCCCAGTGACCCCCTTGATTTTTAAAGTAGTAAATAGAAAATCTTGAAACAATGACTCATCCTCTGAAATTCCTTTAGAGAGAAATAATAAAATTCTATTCAGAAATGCCTACAAAAACCTGTTCAAAATGCCCTTTTACTTTTACTTTAGAGGTAAACAGTTATGTCAGAAAATTTACTTTGGGTATTGTATGGCTGTTTCAAAATGACAAAATTTTTATTTAAAAATTGACTATTAATTATAAAGTACTGTTAAACTTACAAGAAAAGTAATCCTTATTACTCAGTCATGATTCTGTGGTTCTGCCAAAAGTGGCAGTACAGTCCAATCATCAACCTTGGGATTACCAAATCTAGTTATGCAAGAAATGTACTGCTAGAAAAAAGATATGTTTTCAAGGTGATTTCTTATGAGGGGAAAGTAAAATGGTTATATAATTTCTACATTCTATTATCAAACTAGTCTCACTATCTCAAGTCTTACTGTTTGGACTTCATTATTTCCTAACACAAAATAGCCTTTTGAAAAAACTTAAAAATGGTAGAACTGGTAACTGTGAAATAACTATTGTGAACTGTTTACTTAAACAATTAAATCATACATCAATATAATTAATGTTTTAAACTAATACTTCAGTTTCCAATCCTAAAAGTTACATGATTCACACTAAACTAGCATACCTTCTTTTTTTGGCACTCTTTCCTGCATAGGCCTGACTGAGGGATCAGTCTTTTGTGTTAAAGTAACTTCATATGACTCTCTGTTTTTATTCCTTAATTCCTCATATGTAATATTTTTTCTTTTGGGACTTTCTTCAAGGTAGTAATCAGGTCCTAAAACAACAAACAGTTAATAAATGATGGTAAAAAGGATTTGGATAAACCCAAAGTAACTAAGTTTTGCAAAAGCTTCTTACCTATAATCAAAATAGAATAAAGTAAAATATAAGAATCAGAATTTTATCACCATTCCAAAGATACAATACTTTCCCCAAGGTAATCACAGACTAAAATCTATTCCCTATATGTTTAAGCTTTCATTTCTAAAATTTAAAATCAACATCAAAGATTTTTAAATCTAAATCAAGGCTGGAAAAAGAATGAGTAATATAATACGTAACAGTACAAACTGCTTAAAATGCTAGTATTTTAACCTGGAAAGTCATTCATATTGTGTACAGAATTAAAAAGAAATAAATCTACTGGTGATAAGTGAACAACACTTGACACAGTGTAGATTCTTTTAACATTTCCATAATTAAATATTCTAATAACTAGAATCTATACAAATAACTTCAGTTTAAAAAATCAATTTACCATCTTTATGTACTTAAACAAAAATACTTGAAAATAACTACTAAAAATTATAAGAAATAGCCTTTAACCAGTGTAGGTTTTTACTTCTTGTTTACTGAGGTGAGATAAGAACTAACTATTCAGCCTGGAAATCTGCATTTATTCTTTATCTCTCCCAAAGAGAGTCAAAGTGTGAACAATATATATTATCAAAGAATCAAATACTAATGAAAAAATAATGAAGTAATCCCCTTTAATATATTGACAAGATCAAATACTAAACAGTTCATAAAACATATAAATAGTAAGGCCATATAAACATTTTTAAACAAATTTACTGATGCTAACAAAACATTCAGTGCACCAGTACTTAAAGTCTTACTAACCACAACAGAAGTAGTATTTTTTAATGCAACATACAAATTGAGCATATCATTAATAATATATTAATTAAAATATCTTAAAATTCAATTTTTATAGATGGTACTTATTTGGAACTCGATGGTAAGGTCCAAGCAAATAATCAGAATTTTCCAAGAAATATAACTATATTAAATATTGTTTTCAAACCAGATCTTTTATTTTGATAAATATACACTGTATTGATACAGGGTAGAGATTTAAGTTTTTCCTAATTAGTTCTAATACACCAAAACTCAATTTTTCCTGATGAAAAGAGAAAATGCTTAAAAAATTTATAATCTTATATTGGGTTTTTAAAAAACTTTGTATTACATTAGTAATAAATAATTATTGAACTAATTTCCTTTCACTATAATTTTTTTTTTTTTAAATTCTGAAGGATATATATATTTAAGGAAGCCTGGGTTCTAATCCCACTCTGCTGACAATTAGTGAATGTCCTTGGGCAAATCACTAAGCTTCTCCATATCTTGGTTTTCCCAGTTGCAAAATATGGTAATTTAACTAGACGCTCTCTAGAGTTCCTTCCAGGTCTAATACTTTTTCTTATCCAAAAGAAAAATATTTTATTATTCTAAAATCCTATGTCAAATCAAACATAAATCAGATAGAAGATTAGGGGAAAATTTCCCCACTTATAAAACCAAATGAAAATAGTCCTACATTGTAAAGAGAACATGATTTACTCATTTGGGAAGGTTATGAAGAGCTGGAAGGAATAATAAAATATAAAACAGCACTGCTTTAAATATAACTGTAATAAACTACCTATGGTATCTAATAGCTATAAAGGACTGATTTCTGCTTTGAAGAGATTAATAATTCTTTGAATTCCTGGTAAAAGAAAGCAGAACTAAGGGAACAAATAGGATTTAAACAAAAGGAGAGGGTACCCTGGCCTGGTAAGGGAGGATAGCATCTGGAATAAAGCAAAGGAAGCCAATGAGGGTCCATGTGAAGAGCAGTTTTTGAAAAGTGGCAAGTATGATTTGGAGAAGGAAACGGAAAGCAGAGCAGTGGACAGATRGATAGCTACCACAAATTAGGCATAAAATAATATTAAAATATGGGTCTTGCTATCATCTGTGAGTAGATATCAAAAGGATTTTTATGTTTGCTTTTATGTAGAAAACAAATTATGTAATATAGAATTTTCTAATGCAAATGGCAGGAAGGATGCAAATCATTACAAAGGAAGAGCTGGAGCATGACTACAGGAAATGGATCTGAGATTGAAAAATGATACACAGTGAAGGACAAAGAGCTACCTTTGGAAATAAGATGGTGACTTTAACCATTCTCTGAATCTGCCCACCCCCTTTCCCATTCTAATTAGACGAAGTCCTTGCACAGGGGAAAACTTGAAAATTAAGAGGTTCAACAAGTCATCCAAACTCAAGAGTCTCTTTAAACATTCAAACTTCCATTCTCTCCTGACTTTTCTACAAGGTTAATAATCAGCCTTCTCCCCTGTCTTTGATTCTAAGGTACCACTAACAAAATAACAAAACTTTCCTTAGTGAGAATGTTCTGTATTGGTGCTTTCCAACAAGGGAGATGCTAACATGTGACCACTGAGCAACTGAAATGCTGCCAAAACTACTGAGAAATTGACTTTTAAATTTAAGGGCTGGGGATGTGGCTCAAGTGGTAGCACACCCACCTGGCATGCGCGGGGTACTGGTTCAATCCTCAACACCACATAAAAATAAAAAAATAAAAAATAAAGATATTGTGTCCACCTAAAACTAAAAAATAAATATTTTTTAAAAAATAAATAAATTTAATTTTAATCACAGTGACATGTCTAGTGGATACTTTATATTCTGACTTTCCTAAATCCTATTCTGCATCTTCTCAAACCTTCCTTAACCTACACTCAACTTCTCTTTCCCCTACATTCCTTTTCCTCCCTTTAACCTACATTTAGATTCAAATCTCTTCCATTTTGAACAAGCAAACAAAAAAATCCCATTGTTTCTTGAGCATTATTTATTAACTACCCAGTTGCTGATTTAATTGAATTGACTTCAAAGTTGCCTTTAAAGTGAACTCAACAGAGATCTACAATCCCTTATCCAAATCCTCGGAGTTAGACATGTTTTGCAATTCAGTTTCTCAGAATTTTTTTAAATGATCATAGCATATATCCTATATCACTAAATATCCCCCATTCAGAGGTTTGGGACAGGAATGAATAATAAGTAAAAACACTAATGGTTCTACAATAAAATGGAAAAAATTTCTTTTAGGTAAAGTAAGTAAAGGATATATTTATATTTCTTATGTTGTTTAGGTCAGGGTCTGCCGCCAAGTGAGTTCAAGTCAGATTTTATTTTTGCAGTGCTGAGGATCAAACCCAGGTTTTCACAATTGCTACACAATTGCTCTAACACTGAGCTACATCCCTGTCCCTCAAGTCAGATTTTATTTGGGGAGTAGGGGTGGTTTTCAAAACTTTTTAGATTTTAGGTAAGGAATTATAGACAGATCTTTGCCTCCTGATTTAATTCCCCACTTCTACTGCAGACTAGACTGAAAGGAAAAAGGAACTGAATATATTACCTACAAGGCACTGCCTATAATTATTTCATCTAATCCCAACAGTTGAGAGGCTTTATCATTGTTCAAGAGATCAAGAAACTCAAGGAATTATAAATTAGCTACTTATTGCAACTGTAATTACAAGGCCACATCAATAATTCAAATCCAGGCCTTACTCCAAAACTGATCTTTCACTTATGTGTTTGACACTAGTATTTATAAAAACTTGACAATGCATGTTCCCATGGGTTTTCTCACTTGACAACAGTTCTGTAATGCAGGTAAGTATTATTTTCCTCAAAGAAAGAAAGCTGAAAGGCTTTAAGATTGGCTCATCAAATATAACCTTAGCCTTCCTGAAGCCTCTACTTCCTGATGCACAATTTATCACTTTTTTTCTATTCCACGAAACATGTATGAGTATTTTCAATCACTGGAACCCATTAGTAATTTATCCTTATGTTTTACCTTCTAACAGACTGAGAGTTTCTTATGGACAAGAACCAACTTTTATCTTTATGTCTTCCATACCTAGCAAGAATGCCTGATACCTACTAGTCCTCCAGGAATGTTGAGTGAATGAAAAAACAAATGACCAAAAGGAACAAAACATGTTGAATTAGACTGATGGATGAGTTTAGGTTGATGGCTGATAGTGCAATGTACAGGTGATATTCAGCAGAAAAGATCATCAAATAAAGTTTATACATACGTTGGACCATAAAATGCTGAAATTCATTTCAAGAGAAGTTTCTACCTTGGGCAATATGATCAGTAATACCAGTGGGAGTGGATTCATTCATAGAAGCACTGAATGGAATCGGCTCATAACGAGGTAGCTTCTCTTTTTCTATGTTGTCTGCTGCTAGGGATGTCACAAAAGAGGACTGACCACTCATATTTGAGTCATATTTTGACTTCTGAGAATAATGCCTGTAAAAGAATATCACACTGTGTAAGAAAAATAAATCACTGCCTATATCTGAAGCATAAAGGTTTGAAAACAACTTCAAATTTCTATAATCATATTTTAACTTATTTGTGACACTAGGGAATAAACTAAGATGCTTTACCACTGAGCTACCACAGCCCTGCCTTTTTTTTTTTTTTTTTTTTTGTAGTGCTGGGATTGAACCCAGGGCCTTGTACATGTGAGGCAACTTTTTTTAAAATTTTGAGACAGGGTCTCAATAAGTTGTTCAGGGCCTCACTTGATCACTGAGGTTGGCCTCAAATTGTGATCCTCACACCTCAGCCTCCCATGTAACTGGGATTACAAGAGTACACCACCATGCCTGGCTAAACATATCTATTTTTAAGTAGCAAAATAAAATGTTTCTGCCACACACAAAGCATTAAAAAATGTCTTAACCCACTTAAACATTATCACAAGGAATATGTATCACAAGGATAATAATTTAAAATTTTTCACAAGGAAAACACAAAACATATCTGACTTCCTAAATATTAGGTTTTGTAGATAATTTTAATGTTTTAAAGTTCTTAGAAACAAAAAGTACTTCAGATCAATTATAATTCCACTAAACATGTCCATTTCCCACATTAACTGGGAAGTTACTTCCATAATTAGGAAACCATATAAACACTAATTTGCTAAAGCATATATAGGTTAACACACTCTCTCAATAAGAGGTTTAGAATGCTTGCTTGCCATGTATTAAAATTTACCTACCAATCTACTTAAAAACTTTTATTACTTATTTATCAATCTATCCAAATTAATTTATCTACATTACACCATATAAAAACTAAACCATTGCCTGAAAAAAAATAGTAACAGATTAAACATCACTAGATGTTTACTAGACTTAAAAGTTTTAAAATATTGTTTTAGTTGTGGATGAACACTATATCTTTATTTATTTATTTTTACGTGATGCTGAAGATCGAACCCAGTGCCTCACACGTACAAGGCAAGTACTCTACCACAGAGCTACAGCCCAGCCCAAAAGTTTGAAATTTTTTAACATGAGTTTTTTTAAACTGCTTATTTTTATTTTAATTACAAGTAACACGACCAAATTACTGAAGTTTGGTATAAAAGGGAAAAAAAACATCTACCACAACCATTATTACTATCTACTTCCAATGTTCTTGCAAGTATTTACTTTTATTTAAAGAGAGGATTTTACATCCAGGTGTGGTTACACACACCTCTAAATCTGGGGTGGGGTGGTCAAAGCAGGAAGATTCCAAGCTCAAGGCCAGCCAGGGCAACTTAATGAGACTTTGTCTTAAAATAAAAAGGGCTGGAGATATAGTTAAGAGGTAAAGTACTTGCTTAGCATGCATGGAATCCTGGGTTCAATTTCCAGCAGCACTTTTTTTTTAAAAAGACAACTTTAGGGCTGGGGCCTTAGCTCAGTGGTAGAGCGCCTGCCTCTCACTTTTGAGGCACTGGGTTCAATCCTCAGCACCACGTAAAAATAAATAAAGATACTGTGTTCATCAAGAACTAAAAAAATTTTTTTAAAAGACAATTTTAAGTACATATGATTTTATACTTTACCATATTGGTGTATCAAAAGCATTTCATCACAATGCTTCACAGACTTATAGTTTTAAGTACCTTCACAAAGTCTGTTAATAGATAAAACTTAAACCATTCTCCTTCACTGGGCACTAGTTCAACTCCAGTTCTTCTCTACTTAAGTTGTAAACAACTTTGTGCCTACAAATTTTATTTATTTTATTTTTTATTTTTCATTGTGGCCTGATTTACAGAATTTGGTTTAAAGAAAAAAAACTAAAAAACTAAAGGATTCCAAATGTTATGAAATCCAACATAAACTATCTAAAATACTTATACTGATTTACATCAGAAATTTATTCAGTATCAGTTCACTTTTGAAATTTAATCAAGAATTAACTATGATTCCTATAATGAAGTCGCATACCAAAACAAACATTATCATACTACATACCTCAAAGAAAATTAGTTATTTTACCTACTTAGTAAAATGCTCAGTTCATTTTACCTCCATTTTAAAAAACAAAATTTGGATATTCAAAAGAAAAACCCAAAATACAGTGAAGCAAAGGTAAGTGACAAATTGAACAAAGATAAATCCTTTATTCTGGGACATGTATGCCCAATAGAATTAAGGTCTATTTAAAATAATGGCTCTATCTTTTAAGGCAAATTATCTTTAGTCTATAGCAAATAGCAAGTTTACAGTGGTTCATCAGTTATGCAATGCTTCATATACTGAATTATAATACTGTCTAGTTATTTTTTTCTTTAACAATAAAAACTCTTAAGTGAAAATCAGAAAATGGCCTACCCGGGAGGTAGAGATCGTCTTGCTTGTCCCGATCGTAAAGCTTCTCCAAGAGGGGAATTTTCAAGATTCTTGAATTTCTCTTGACAAGTTTTCACATAAGACAGCTTTCCAGCAAAGTATCCCATGATGCAAGCAACTTAATTGTAACACCAAACAAAATGTGTGACTGAATGGGTCTTTTAGGCAAAAAAAAAAAAAAAAAAAAAAAAAAATCTAACAAAACATTTTTTAAAAAGCATAGTTCTAAAATATGTCTTTGGTTTACAAAACTGAAATTTCCTCAAATAATGGTAAAAAGACCACATTAAATTATACTCAAGAGTTCATAGATTCTACAGAAATAATTCACTTTCCCTAAGAAAATAAGCCAAAATAAAGTTGTTATAAATCAACTCTAGTGGCTGGGTTTGTGGCTCAGTGGCAGAGCATTTGCCTGGCATGTATGAGGCACTGGGTTCAATTCTCAGCACCGCATATACATAAATAAAATAATGGTCCTTTGAAACTAAAAAATATTTTTAAATAAATAAATAAGCTCTAATATACTAATTATTAAATATAGGTAGGAAATGTAGTAAAGGTATGTTGGAAAGAAAAATGGATGAGCAATCAAAACAGCAGAGTTCTGGCCTAGTAACAGGTTTTTGAGCCATTTATTTTTCTGTAAAATGGGTATCATACTATTTGCCTAGCCAATTTCATAAGACTGCTTTAAAAATAAAATTACATGCAACAAATCCCTTAAAATAATGTATTCCAAAGTATAACCTAAAGTCCAAAGCAAACACTTCACCATATAGCTGTATCCAATACAAAAGAGAGGGTAATCCGAAAAGATTTAATGAAAAGCCGCAGATTCTTTAAAAGAACAATTTAAATTTAGCTTCTTATTAGCCATATTGCAAAATGCAAACTAAAAAGATTTTTTAAAATAAGCTTAATTCTAAATATATTGATGTGATCAATCAGAGTACCTGTACAACTTTCCCCATGAACAGACCAATAATTATTTTAAATACTGTGTATTTACAAAGTAAGTTCAAATTAATAGTTGTAATACTTTATAAAAAGAGGGAGGAAAGCATTTCAAGTAATTCATGAATTTTGATATTAATAAAATATCCAAGTACTTCATTTAATGAAAAGCTTAAACAAATTAAGTTGCCACAGCATATAACCACAAAACTAATATGAGTAAGTCAAAACATTTGATAAAATTTATGGTTTTATTTAGGTAAAAGAGCTACAAAAAACAGTGTTGATCATACTTACATATAAGTTTAGGGATGGAACCATATTTGGGATGACTTGAAAGGATTCCTAAAGAACAAGTTAAGTATTTTTGAGTAACATTGTTAAGAGAATAGAAAAAAAATCAGTTCAGGATACCCTTAAAGATTAGCTGCCGACATTAGCATTTTTAAGCACCCAGAGAACTCTAAACTATTTAAAAGACAAAGCAAGTGAATTCAGAAACAGAATTATAAAAAAATCTAGAAAGACTAAAAATTATTAGAATAGGTGAATGAATATAAAGATACTTGATACGAAGTTACTAGATAAAGGAAAAAAAGATGTTTCTATGAACCAAGAACAAACCAAAAAAAGCATTTTAAAATACACCATGTGCAGGGGCTGGTTGTGGCTCAGCGATAGAGCACTCGCCTTGCACGTACAGGACCCTGGGCTTGATCCTTAGCACCACATACAAAAATAAACAAGTGAAATAAAGGTGTTTTGTCCAACTACAACTAAAAAATAAATATTTAAAATAAATAAATAGATAGATAGACAAATAAATAAAATACACCATGTGCAACATGAAGGGCCAAGGTGCTATTAAAGAAAGTGAAGAAATTTGAGAACTAGTAGCACCAGATACAAAAACCTGTGATAAAGATAAAGTAATTAAAATAGTATGAATAGTGCAAGAACAGGTAAATTGACCAACACTAGAAGAGCCCAGAAATGGACCCACACATGCAGTCACATAATTTATGACAGGCAACACTGCAGTAAACAAAAAATCATCCCTTCAAAACATAGTACAGTGTACAGTGGGAATGTAACTGGATCCTATACCTTATACTATTCCAAAACAATTACAGATGGCTTGAAAATTAAAATATGAAAGATAAAGAAAAAAAATGGACAACAGGCATCAGTAAATAATTTACAAACAAGGATATATCCAAATGAAGTATAAACAAAAGAAAAGGTACTCAAGACTTCTTTAGAGGGAGACACAAATCAAACCACACTGCAATCAGTATCATTGCTCACTTATCACAATTGCTAAAATACAGGAAACACACAAACTAGTGTTGGTGAAAAAACCAGAAATGTAAACTATGTCAAAGAGTTTCACAGTATCTACTAAAGCTGAACAAACTATATTCATAATCTTATAACCCAGAAAAATGTCTACCAAGAGATACTTTATTCATGGCAGAACTTATTATAATAGTCAAAATTGAAAACTACCTAATTGCCAACATATAGATAAACTGTGGTATACTCACAAAGAAAACTATATAGCAATGAGAATAATTAATCTATAACTACATGCAACAATATAGAAGAATCCAGTATTATATAGGTAAACCAGTTTTCCATATAAAAAGCCCAGATTTTAATTAATTTAATTTCCATGATGTAAAGCTACCAAAATGTCTTTGGCTTGCAAATTTACTGAAAATTAACAATTAATTCTCAGGAACTGATATAAGACAGTCTCAGCATACCACTGATGAATCTAACAAATAGGATCAACAATATATCGAATACTTAATTGCAAGATTTAGTGTCATTAAAGTACAAAACCAAAACGAATCCATACTATTGGCCTGGGGTTCTTTCATTTATACCACCAAGATCATAAAGAGGAGAAAAAGCAGAGTAGTTAAAATATTTGCTTTTATACATGTATAAGTTGATCCCTCATTCTGTCCCCAACTAGTTACAGACCACTGACAATAAACAGTAAATAAGACATTTTCTTTGCACATAATGAAGCTTACAGTCTACAGAGAGAATTAAGACAAACAGAATACAGCATGTGGTTGCTATTTATCCACCCGAATATTTGAGTTATCAATTATATACATTATGTTGCCCTCTGACAGCTGCTAGAGACAGCCCATTTTCCTAAGGGGAAGCAGCAAGGACAGAGGCAAACTGACTTGTTCAAGGTTAATGCAATACTCTTTGCAACATATGGTTGCATTAATTATAGTGATGATACAGATGGAACTAGATAGTTGACAGAGAAATGAATGAATTGGAATACATGATATTAATTAGACAAGGTAGTTAAGAGAAGTTAAGGATAATAATGCCCTGGACTCCTGGATGTCAGTGATGCCACTCAGGCACGAGGGGTGGAAAGGTGGGAGGAACTGGTTTTGGAAAAACAAATTCAGTTTGACGGCCATTTAGAAGGGCAATCCAAGTGGAGATACTAAAACATTGTAACAGATACATAGGCTAGAGATAACCACAGAGATTTAGATGCAAGAAATGGTCAATGAAGCTCAAATTTGTGAGGCAAAAGTATAGACTTGGGATGGAGATATAGCTCAATGATAAATTACATGCTTAATATGCATGAGGTCCTAAATTCAATCTCCAGCACCCACACCACCAAAAAAAAAAAAAAAAAATACATACACCAATAACTAAAAGTCAAAGGAGAACTTAAAGAACACCAACACTCTTAAAACAAGCAGAAGAAGAAAACCTAAACACCAAAAGGTAATATACCTTTGTCTTTTAGTGCTATATATGAAAAATAGTATGTAATTCCTATCAGACACTCAAAATTCATAGAAAAAGTGGAAGAGTTGCCTGAGGGAGAAAAAAAAGTATTAGTGTCCACTATCATGGTAGTGATATGAAAAGAATGTTTCAAGAACTGGTGAAAATTATGATATAGGATAAGAACAAAAACTGCCCATCAAAATTAAGAAACAAGGAAATTGTGTTATCTGAGCATGGTGGGCATACATCCATAATCCCAGCTACTCAGAAGACTAAGGCAGAGGATTCCAAGTTCAACTCAGCCTGTCTCCAAACCAAAATTAAAAGGGTTGGGGGGCAGGGGACATAGCTCAGTTGGCAGAGTGCTTGCCTCGTATGCACAAGAACATGGGTTCAATCCCCAGCACCACATTAAAAAAAAAATAATAAAAATAGGGTTGGGGAGTAGCTCAGAGGTAGAATGCTTTTGGGTTCAATCCCTAATACCTCAAATAAGACATAACAAAATGAAAATACATATATAAGTAATCAATGACACAGACTTGAATGGGTTAAAAAAAGTAAAAAGTTGAAGCACTCATTTATAGTACTTCAAATTTGAGGAGTCAGGGAAAAACTGGAAACGTGTGGGAGAGAATTTTCTTTTTTATGTTCTTTCTTTTATAATAGATAGGAACAATCAGGTTGCAGCTAAGAACAAGTTAAGTATGACACACCATGGACAAAAGCATATACAAAATGCCAAACATCTAGATGAAATGCAAAATGTCTTGGGGATTCTGAATTGTTTTCCTAATTTTTACCATTTCTATCTTATTCTCAAGTTGTCCAACGTCTTTAACTCCATGTAAATACCAAATCTCCAAAACTTTCCCTTTTTTGTGTCCTAATACAAATTGTACCTTCTCTTGGTTCTTAGTAATTTAATAGAGTTTTCATTCCTTCCCACATGATTTTGCTTTGAGTTTCTTGACTGCCTCCTCCCGAGTTAAGCTTATTGTTCTGATCAGTTCCCTCTTTCCTAATATAGTCTTCCTTGTCTTTTAAGCAAACTCCTGCTCATCCTCTGAAACTCATTTCTTCCAAAAAATGTTCCTGTTATGCACAGTGGCACACGCCTATGATCCCAGCAGCTCGAAGGCTGAGGCAGGAGGATTGGGAGTACAAAGCCAGCCTCAGCAAAAGTGAGGTGCTGAGCAACTCAGTGAGACCCTATTTCTAACTAAAATATAAAATAAGGCTCAGTGGCTGAGTGCCCCGAGTTCAATCCCTGGTACCCCCGCCCCCCAAAAAAGGGATTATAGCAGCCCTACAGAGATCTTTGAATATCCTTCTGAATCTCACAATTCAACTAAACATTTAAATTTTCTTCTACTTGTTTCAGTGTGTGATCACACAGACTTCTTTCTTCAAATGAACTACTGGCAGCTCTTGTATTTATTCTGCATACCCCCCTCCCTCATAACAATCATTAATAAATGACATATTGGATTACTATAAAACAGGCAGACAATTTCTCCACTCTTGGGGCTGGGATTGTGGCTTAGCAGTAGAGCGCTTGCCTAGCATGCTTAGGGTCCTGGGTTCGATCCTCAACTCCACATAAAAATAAATGAATGAAATAAAGTTATTGGATCCAACTACAACTACAACCCATAAACGTTTAATAAAATCTTTTTTTCTCCACTCTTAATTCTTTCTCCCTATGCCAATTTTCCCTTCAAAGTAATGTGATTGGTGTTTTTGTTTTATTTTTTTTCAAAATGCAAATCCAAACTCATCTATGAAACAACTTAATTGGTTCTGGAGTTGTTTTCAATTTTAAAATTCCTGTCTTGCAGCACATTATAATGAGATTCCTTAGAAGTTCTTTAAATAAATTTTTCCTCCCAAAATCCTCCCACTTCCCTTCAAAAGTATTGTTTTGGAGTCAAGATTATCTACATACTTTATTCTGCTATTGTGAAAAAGCTAAAATATCCTATCAAAGTCAATTTTGAGCTAGTTAATTAAAAGAACAGGTTTTTAGAATACATGGAGGCTATCCTACCAGAGTCATGACTATTTTCTGGGACACTTTCCCAGATATAAGATACACCACGCTGATACTTAACAAAATAAACGTCATGAGCAATACTATTGCTAGCACCACTAAATTTTAAGACACAAAGACTGATACATTTAATGCTAATCTAAAACTCAAGTTCCACAGGAATATGTTATAATATTTAAAACAACAGAATTTAGTTGCCCTCAGGGACTTGTTAAACTAGTACATCTGAATCACCTTCAAGATTCCAGGACCTCATTTAACAGATTCTGACTCAGTATGTATGGGATGGGGCCTGTGAATTTGCATTTCTAACAATCTCTTAAGTGAGAATGATACTGCTGAGCCACCTGACCAGGTCTGCTGCTCTACCTACAAACCATCCACAAGTTTTTAATTACCTTCTTATTCTTACAGGTTGTTAAGCTATATGTGAAACACCAAATTCTCAAATCAAGATAATCAAGTCAGTGGGTTCATGGAGACAAAACCCTTCTGATACTGAGGAAATTCATCAATGATAATACCTAATAGGATACATTATCATCTTATTTAAAAATCAGAAAAATAATGTAAAACAAACATGATATCCAAAATGCTAAATAAATCCAAAGTTTTAAGTATTTACCTTTACTTATCAATCCTTGAGTAATCAACATACTTGTTGCAGCCAAAGGCACAGCTATAAAGAGAGAAAAAAATTGTCACTATCAACAAAGGAAAACTGTCTCTTGAATTTATTAGGGGATAGATTATTAGTAAAATCATAGGAATGCACATTAAAATATTTAAAAGAGATTGCTTCATCTTAAAAGTTACACTATATGAATGGTGAAAGCATGAAAGAAGCATTTTAAATTTAAGGACATTATAAAATGTTAAATATAATTCAAGAACCATCCAGATTTAGATTCTAAATAGCTAGCAAAAAAAAACTAAACAAACAAAATAAAGATTTAAAAAAAAAAAGAGTCAAAAGTAATACTAAGAGTTACATCTGAAGTTAGAGAAGGAGAGGGCAAAAAAAGAGAACAAGCCAGAAATCAATTAAAAGAAAAGTCACTGAGTATGACAAAATTCCATGCAGCATGTTTAAGTGCCTTACATATATTATTCATTTACTTTTTCTTATGTTTATAAGGTAGATAATATCATTACGCTTTTAAAGATACGGACAATGAAGCTTAGAGATGTTAAGATACTTGCAACAGGTCATACAACTAGTTCAATGGCAGGCCCACATTCTAATGAATCTGTCTGACACCAGATCTCAAGCTTTTAAGCTCTGTATTACATTGTTGTGAACCAAAATACAAATATATTTGACCATAATCACACGGAGGCTGGGGCAAGAATAAATAAGCATACATTTTAAATACACTTTTTAAAACTATTTTAAATGTAATTTTGCCATAAGGAAATATTCTGTCTATAATTACTATTAATTGACAGTGAAATCCTAAGTGCTCATTATAATTTCAAAGAAACTCATAACTTTAAAAACACATGGGATGTAGCTTAGTGGTACAGTGCTTGCCTACCATATGCAAGGGCAGGATACAATCCCTAGCACAATACAAACAAAACAAAACAAATTCACCTATGAATCACTGTTCTCTTACCCAAGCACTAATAGATCTCCTTGATGGGAGTTGGAATTGGTCCTTGGCTGACCAACCTAGCAAAGCAACTTTGGGAATTTGAATGGAAAAAGAATTCTCTACATTGATACAAAACTTTACCTAATTTATCTAAACAAGTAAAATGCTCACTGTACCTAATCTGTTTTTTCATGCTGAGTACCACGTTGTCTGGGCGTCTGGAACTTGATATCTGCTACACTGAGGGTGCCTATGCGATCAGCACCCTCCAAAAACCCTGGCTTTGAGTCTAATGAGCTTCCCTAGTGAACAACATTTAACTCGCATCATTACTAGCTGGTGGAGAAATTAAGCACATCCTTAGTGTATGACTCCACTAAGAAAAGATCTTAGAAGCTTGCACCTAGCTTCCTCTGGACTTCACTACAGACTCTTTTTCCTGATTTTGTTCTGTATCCTTTCATAGTTTCTGAATCCTGTAAACTATATGCAAATTTAAATAGTTACATATGGCTGGAAGCTGCCAAAGATACTCCTATTTTAGACCAAAGGTTGGTAGATGCATTCCTATAAACAGCCAGATAATAAATGTATTGGGTTTTGTGGGCCACTCAGTCTTTGTCCCATCTCAACAGTTGTTTTAAGGCAAGAGCATCCAGAGACAATACATAAATGGACATACAGCCGTGTTCCTATAAAACTTTATGGATACAAAAATATCAATTTCATGAAATTTGCACATGTAATAAAATAGTCTTCCTCCTTTTCTTTTTCCTCAAACATTTAAAAATGTAAAAACAATTTTTAACTCATTGCATGCAAAACCAGATTTGGTCCATGGGCTATAGTTTCCTCAACTCTTTTCAAAACTATGTGGACTACTTAAAAACTAATTACTTATTTACTTTCAAATTATTACATTTGAATTATTAGAGAAATTTCATGATTAAAACCCACAACTTTGGAATAAGGCATTGGCTTTGTCATTAGGCAGTTTGCAGAAACCCTATGGTTTGACTCCTTACTATTCTACTAAAAGAGTTTACCTTTGCTGGAAAAAAATGTTTCTTTAATGTTGGCTGGTTAGAATGCCTTCATGTATTATTTAAAGTTTTTCAAAGGATAAATCCCTTCTAATTACAGCATCATTCAGCTTGGTTCAAGGATTGCAACACGTAGCACTGAAGAATTATGTAAGGATAAAAGGTGATGAGTTAGTTAGCCATCTCTACAATGGACAATGATTTCCCCATTTAATACTCAAGAGTAACAGTCAGGTTGAGATTCTAGTACTAGTTCTTCCATTCACCACATCTGTATGCTTCTCTTAACTTCCCGTGCTATAAAAGAGCAATGGATTAGGTCTACCGTCTCTTCTCAACTCACGTATTCTATTTTACATCTCACAAAAAAGATAAAGGTAAAACTGAAAGGTACTTCAGAGGTTCTCTAGTCTTCATTCTAATCAGAGTTAATTGAGACCAGAAAAGACAAGTTATATGCTCTAAGCTATGAACATGGTTAGTATGTGGTATAGCTGGATTCAGAATCTAAGTCTTCTGACTCCTAGGTCAATGGTTTTTTCCATTATACTGTGTGACTCTTATTTCAGAGTCTGTTAAATAATGCTTCTTTAGGTAAATCAATAATACTCTTGACCAAACCCTAATTGTACATTATGACCACAGCCCCAACCATTTCTAATACAAAGATTCCTAAAATTCTTTGAACTCTTCTCCTCTCAACAATAGCAAAATGATATTCTAAATTCAGAATTAAGGGGTCTCACTGAGTTGCATAGCACCTCACCATTGCTGAGGCTGGCTCTGAACTCATGATCCTCCTGCCTCAGTATACAGAGCCCACTAGGATTATAGGCATGCGCCTGGCAATAGTCAACAAATTTTAAAATTAAATTAATCTCTACAACAATTACATGAAATAAGCAAATATCACCCTTATTTTACAGATAAGAAAACAGGGTAACAGGAACTTGCCCCAAATCTCAGTTAATAATGTGTGGAATTTGGGCTGGGAGATAGCTCAGTTGGTAGAGTGCTTGTCTAGCATGCATAAGGCCCTGGATTCAATGCCCAGTACTAGGATTTTAATTTAAACAGGTGGGCCTCACTCAGAGTCTGACCCTTTCACTGATTATACCATTTTATTTGAAATAAAATGAGCGAAATATTATTCAAACAATCTGTAACTGGTGCAAATAGGAATTCATAGACCTTTTCAGTAATTCCAAAGGTAAGAACTACTATAACATAATATGCAAGAAACTGACTTTTTATGTACAGATTGTGTTACTACCTGTGTTTTGGACAAAGAGACGTTGTTTTTTTTTTTTTTTTTGGTTAGACAAAAACTCACAGGGCCACAATTTGTAAGCACCTAGAAATATGACATCTTCATAGTTAAGGTCTAAAAATTATCATTGGTACTTTTCTACATATTCCTATATGCCTTTTTCACCATTTTTTCCTAATCTACACGCTCCAAAGTATCAGGAATTCCATTGCTCATTTATATAAATATGAAAATGTCACTGCATAGAATAACATTTGAAGATATGAATATTAAAGTACAAAATTTCCTAATATCAAGTCCTCTCAATAATTATATGTTGAATTTCATACCATCTGGTTACACCCAAACTTCTATATATATGCAATGTTTGGTGTATACCTAGGTTATCTAAGAGCTGACCGTGCCAGGAGCAGTGGTTTACTACTATAATCCCAGCAGCTCAGGAGGCTGAGGCAGAAGGGTCACAAGTTCTAACCCAGCCTCAGCAACTTAGCCAAGATCTGTCTCAAAAGGAAAAAAAAGGGGCTGGAGAGGGGATGTGGTCCAGCAGTTAAAAGCCTCTGGGTTCAATCACTGGTACCAAAACCAAAACAAAACAAAGAGTCAATTCAGAGTCAATTGCTGGCTGGGGATGTGGCTCAAGCAGTAGCGCGCTCGCCTGGCATGCGTGCGGCCCGGGTTCGATCCTCAGCACCACATACCAACAGAGTCAATTGCTACTTGGCAATTTTTTGGCTTCTATAATTTCCCAATAATTGAGATATAACATACAGTTAATAATCTGCTTTTCAGTCTGTCATTATTACATGCTCTTTGTCTCTTCAATTTAGAATTAATTAGCTTTAATACACAGAAATTACTGAGATTCTATTGTTCATATACCGCATATCTTACTATTAACAATTAGGCATACACAGAAATCATGCCTAGCACTCACTGCCCTTTAACGTACTTTTGACATAATGGTGTTACAACTAGAATGTTAAAAATATGTACAGCAACATAAATTTATCAGCCAGAAATAAATCTGAACAGCACAGTATCTATGTAAACCTCAGTCTAACATTACAATAATTCCAAACATTATCAGACTTGTTTTTTTCTTAATCCTGAGACATCAATACTTGAAAAAAACCTGTTGCACCAAAAACTTAAAATGTCCATACTAACCTTATTTTATCCTACAAACAAGGAAATTCAGTATAACTGTAACTCTTAATTAGTGATATCATCAAAATCAAGTTTCTTAAGCTGGTTATCTTAAAGTTTCTCTCTTTTCCTTCCTTCCTTCTACTGTCAATCTTTGTAAAAATCCTGTGTTCTAGCCAGGCACACTGGCACACACCTGTAATCCCAGTGGATTGGGAGGCTGAAGCAAGAGGATTTTGACTTCAAGGCCAGCCTCAGCAATGGCAAGGCGCTAAGCAACTCAGTGAGACCCTGTCTCTAAATAAAATACAAAATAGGGCTGGGGATGTGGCTTAGTGGTTGAGTCCCCATGAGTTCAATCCCTGGCATTCCTCCCCACCAAAATCCTTTGTTCTTTAAAAAATTCATTGCCTACCCATTTTCTCCAGGTCAAACAAAAATGTATTCAACTATACTTCCTCAAAAACTATATGCCTGTGTTACTGCAAAAGCTCACTCATAAGGGATTTCACCAAGTACAACTTCTCATCCTTCCTATCCAATACACTGCTAAAGTTTCTTAAAAAACAGTATCATCCTCTCTGTCCAAGAACCTAAAACATATAATGAATCAAACCTTTTAACTCCTGTTATTTTATTTTCTATTCTCAATGAAAGTCTTCTGCTCCAAAAGTTCAGCTTCAAGGGTCTAACAGAGATCAAGTTATTGCAGACTCTGCCTTGGCTCATTATAATAAAATCTATCTCTACTTAAAGTCCCTATTGCAGTTATACACATAATCTTTATATGTTTCATGTGTTAACTTTGTCCCAACTACATCATAAAACTACTTCGGGAAAAATATTATGTCTCATAAAACTCATCTTCTAATCAAGTACCTTGTACACTGTAAGCATACATTCCAGACTGAAAAGGTATATCCTCAATTGTTTAAGTTGTCCCCTTCTTTCTCCTTAAAATCCATTCTGCCTTTTTGTTAGAATAGTAATTGCCAAAGACTACAGTCTCAAGATAAAGCAATAATACCAGGGTTTTGTTTAAAAGTAAGATTATAATTTATGTATCACTTATAGTATTCTCTGTATTTAAAAAAAATCTTGATATACAATCAAAAGTTGGTAATATAGTAATATTTAATGGTTTTTTAAAAAATGGAAACTAACCAGTTTTTATTATGTGATGGTTAAAGTACAAGGCTTAAAATCATGAGCTTCTGTTTCAGACAGACCTGACTTCCAAGTTCAAACATCATGGCTTGCCATTATGTAACATTAGCTAACTCATTTAACATCTCTAAACCTCAATTCCTTCCCTGTAAAGTGAGGGTTCCCAACTGAGTTGTTTTTATATAATCCAAATATACTCAATAAATGTTATTACCATTATTATTGACAAAATTACTTCATGATTGAAACAAAAATTTGAAATAATTACTTTAGAATATGCACATTTCTTCTATTTCCTTATCAACTTGTTTTAGAAACAACCACACTATGCAAAAAGCATATATGTTCTATATGAAAGTATTAAATTTCAAATATAAATTCAGGTCAAAATTGCAGGTACAAATTTTGGACCAAGCTATATTGAAGTCTGGGGGATGTAGCTCAGTGGTAGAGTGTTTGCCTAGCAAGGCAATGTCTCAAGTTCAATTCCCAGCACAAACAAAAAAATTATGTTGATTAGAAAATTGAACTTACATCTGAACCAGAAGCTTTCATCATTGCATTCTGCAAAGACTCTTCTTTCTTCTTCTGTTGGAATGTAATCAGCCCCTATATCTTTTAGCAAGGAAAATTGGAAAATAATAAAATACCCATAATAAAACTAAGTCTGAAAAATTAGCTTAGTCTGAGCTGGGCCACAGTGGTGAATGCCTGTAATCCCAAAGTTTGGGAGGCTGAGACAGAAGAAAGAAGAATTCAAAGCCAGCCTCAGAAAAAGCAAGGTGCTAAGCAATTCAGTGAGACCCTGTCTCTAAATAAAATACAAAAATAGGGTTGGGGATGTGGCTCAGTGGTTGAGTGCCCCTGAGTTCAATCCCTGGTACCAAAAGAAGGAAAAAGAAAATTAGCTTAGTCTGAATATTAATGATACCCAACATTTTTTTAAAGTGAAGTAATGAAAACAGGTAATCTCTAAACTTCTAAAGCAAACTTTAACTGCAAACAAGTAAGCACTACAACCTACTAGTTAGGACTGGCTACAAAATGGGGTGGACCCAGTGCAAAAGGATAATGTGTGACCCTTGTTTAAATTAAGAATTTCAAGATAAAAACTAGAGCATTAAATCAAGCATGGGGCCCTGTGACTACACAAGTAACAGCCCCATGAAGCCTGCCCAGATGCTACAGTTACTCAGGCAATGAAAATTTTCTTACATAAAAAGTGCTTCTAAGGTGGGATTGTGGCTCAGTGGTAGAGCACTTGCCTCACACGTGAGGCACTGGGTTTGATTCTCAAATCAAACATACAGATAAATGAATAAAATAAAGGTCCATCAACAACTAAAAAAATTTTTAAAACAAGTGCTTCTAGGCGCATATAGCTCAGCTGGTAGAGTGCTTGCCTTGCATGCACCAGACCCTGGGTTGGATCCCCAGCACCACATACACAAAAAAGCGCTTCTAATTATAAATAGTTAATATGATAGTTACGGGGAATTGGTCTTGGAACTTCTGAATTTGGCTCTCGAAAATCAGCCCTCCCATTCATCTTTCCTGTATCAAAGACATTAATATTAAATATTAGAAACTGCCACCATAGTTCAAAGCAAATACATATAACCTATGATGTAGTAAAATTACTAGTCTATATGGCAATCAAACAACAAATATTTACCAAAAATTACTACACCTTAATTCATGTAACAAAAATAGCTAAATAAAAAAAGCATAAATCTACTAATTAATTTGGACTCAATTCCCGCACTCCATCCTTCGTTGAAAAAGAAGTGCTTTATACGTATTTACTAGTCGAATAATATAAAAAGACATTAATAAAACACCAGACACTTTTCCTCCTTAAGTTGGTTTATTTCATATTAGTCTATGTTTTGGTCCATACAGAAACCTATACCCAATAATTAGGCGAATTCCCCAAATAAAAGAAAAATCTCAAATCATATCTGGGATTCCATTTTACAAATGCAATAATCATAAGGAAACATGCAACCTTTCCCACAAAGCTGTACGTCCCTCCCCTCAAAAAAGAATAACTAAGACGTCACATCCTTCTCCCAGTACGGGAAAACTAAAGCAAATTCCACATCCTTCAAATTTCTTCCTTTCCAAATAACTTAAACGAATACCTGAGGTTTTTGAAAACGCACAGCATTTCAAGAATGTTTTTATTTATTCTTTGTTTAGTGCCCTTTTTTAAACCATACCTCGGGATTTTAAAAGACCAGACCACCGGATAACTGCATATTGTACAGAATATTACAGAATATTACATTTTACAGATGATCATGATTAGTCTCATTTTTAAAACAATTCACATTAAAAACAGGAAATGGCAGCCTACCAAGATTACAACTGGATTCTTGGATAACTCATTTAGTTAACAACTCACTACCGAAGGCCTAGTACATGCCAACCCCTTAGAGAGGGAAAAGGAATAAAAAGGATAAACTGAGTTTCTGGAGGGGAGCAGCTTTCTGAATCAACTAAAACCGTGAAATGAAACCCTCTCGCTCTCCGCAACAGCATCCTTCCTATAGACTGTCAAGGCCGACAAAGACGCTAAACAATATTTTAGCTCGTAATTCCAAAGAAAGAGAGTAGGACTGAACCCTCGCCGGCCTACGACCCTCGATTCCCGCACTCCGTCCTCCATCCGCTCCACCCCGCTCCCGCTGGCCACTGCTGACACACCAACACGCACCATTCGCCACCACTTTCCCCACCCGCACCCCCACAAACAGTTCCTCGCCTCCCGCGGTCACCAGCACTCAGGAGCCTGGGACCCAAAACGCAATCAGTCCACCCTCAGAGGCAGGAAAATGGCGGAAGGTGCAAAGTAGCGGATGGCCGCGCGAAGGTGGTGAGTGGGCGGAAAGGGGGAACAAAAATGGGGCTTTGTGCACGACCTCACCGGCAGCGGTAGGCGACAGCTCCAAGTGCCCAAGCGATCAGGGGGCCGAGGTCCAGAGAGGACCCTAGAGGGGGCAGGGAGGGAGAAAAGAGCGCGGAACGCAGCGGGGGGAGGGGGTGGACTGCGACGCGACCGCCAAGAAGTCACCCAGATACCGCGACCCGGAAGCACTGTCTACCTACAACAGGAAATGACGCCAAGGCCTCCCTGCGGAGTCGGCCGCGGAGCAGCCGTGAAGAGACGCCTGAGTCTGTCTGCCCCGCCCTCTAGGGCTCGTCATTTGTCTCCTTACTCCCAGGACGCGGCGCTAGCGAGCTGCACTGCGGCTGCGCTGGGATCGACTGCCGGCGGGTCCCCGATCCCGCGGTTGCCCTGACCTCGGCGCGAGTCTTTGTGTCCTTGTGACGCCCCTCACTCATCTACCTTTAATAGGCTGATGGGAACATTCTAGAACTTCCATATGCGCACTCATTGAGAGTTACCATCTTAAATTTCCCTGCTTTTAAGCTTTACGTAAGCTAGGAAGTATCAAGTAAGTTTTACGCTGGCGTAGAGCTTGTCAGACCCTCTTGATTGTGGGTTCTGACTTGTAGAACCTCAGGCAGGTTGCATTACCTCCCTAAGCCTCAGAGTTGGCTCATCTGAATCGAAATCATACCTACTACATATGATTGTTTGGATGAAAACAACATATCTGAAAAGACCCTGGAGCTCAGTCTCTATTAATGAGAGACAACATTCTAATTCGGGGCTCATGGCAGCTGTTCATCAGACATCATGGGGACACCCCCAGCCACCTCCATTCATTTTCTTTCATTCATCCAACAAATGTTTATTGAGTGCTTACTCTGAGCCAGGCATTACAAATTATTGCTGATGTAACAGTAAATAATTCTGGTTCTACCCAGTTTATCAACTCCTAAAAACTTGTCAGAGTCCCTCTGTCCCATACTCATTTCATTTTTTCACTCTACAACTGCCCTAAATTTATATTTAAAAGACCCAGCCATCTTTTTTCTAATTGCTTTTATCTTTTAAATGTATGACAGTGGAATGCGTCACAATTCTTACTACACGAATAGAATACAATTTTTCATTTTCTGTTTGTATATAAAGTATGTTCACACCAATTCATGTCTTTATACATGTACTTTGGATAATGATGTCCATCACATTCCACCATCATGCTAACCCCCTGCCCCCTCCCTTCCCCTCCCACCCCTCTGTCATATCTGGAGTTCCACTATTCCTCCCATGCTCCCCCTCCCTACCCCACTATGAGTCAGTCACCTTATATCAGAGAAAACATTTGGCATTTGTTTTGGGGGGATTGGCTGACTTCACTTAGCATTATCTTCTCCAACTGCATCATTTACCTGCAAATGCCATGATTTTTATTCTCTTTTATTGCTGAGTAATATTCCATTGTGTATATATGCTACATTTTTAATCCATTCATCTACTGAAGAGCATATGGGTTGGTGCCACAGTTTAGCTATTGTGAATTGTGCTGCTATCAACATTGATGTGGCTGTGTCCCTGTAGTATGCTGTTTTTAAGTCTTTGGGGTATAGACCAAGGAGAGGGATAGCTGGGTCAAGTGGTTGTTGCATTCCAAGTTTTCCAAGGAATCTCCATACTGCTTTCCACATTGGTTGCACCAATTTGCAGTCCCACCAGCAAGGTATGAGCGTGCCTTTTCCCCCACATCCTCTCCAATACTTATTGTTGTTTGTATGCATAAGAGCTGCCATTCTGACTGGAGTCAGATGGTATCTTAGGGTAGTTTTGATTTGCATTTCTCTAATTGCTAGAGATAATGAACATTTTTTTATATATTTGTTATTGATTGAATATCCTCTTCTGAGAAGTGTCTGTTCATGTCCTTGGCCCATTTATTGATTGGGTTATTTGTTTTTTTGGTGTTTAGCTTTTTGAGTTCTTTATATACTCTAGAGATTAGTGCTCTATCTGATGTGTGAGGGTAAAAATTTGCTCCCAAGATATAGGCTGTCTATTCACCTCACAGATTGTTTCTTTTGCTGAGAAGAAACTTTTTAGTTTGAGTCCATCCCATTTATTGATTCTTGCTTTTAATTCTTGCACTATAGGAATCTTATTAAGGAAGTTGGGGCCTAATCCCACTTGATGAAGATTAGGACCTACTTTTTCTTCTATTAGATAGAGAGTCTCTAGTTTTAAAAGACTCAGCCATCTAAAACACAGATCCAACCCAGTGTTTCCTTCCTGATAGCCTTTTTTTTTTTTTAGTTCTTTTTTCTACTTGTAAATGGACACAATATCTTTATTTTATTTTTATGTGGTGCTGAGGATCGAACCCAGGACCTCACACAAGAGGCAAGCGCTCTACCACGGAGCTACAACCCCAGCTCCCTGATAGCCTTTTTGATAGCTCCCATGATGCATAGAATCATGGCTTGCCCTCATACCTCTTGAATCTGTCTCACAACAAGACATAGCCTGCTTTCTCCGTATTCACCGTACCCTGTACATTGCCTGTACAACCCTTCTGAGTTGCTTTGATGTTTCAGAATCCTGCCTTGTAGTCCCTCTTTTGTGAAGTCTTCCCTGAAACACAATCCAGAGAATTAATCACTCTTCCTCAGTTTCACCCTGTACATACTGCCTTTCTGAGTTCTATTGTCATCCCTTTTGCTTATTTCTATCTCAGTTACATAGCTTCTTTGGGACAGGAACTTTATAAGTCTTTATAATCCCAACTATTTTTCCAAGATAATTAATATTAGTAATTAATATTCATTGTTTCTAGAATGTGCTAAGTTCTGTTTCCTCTTTTAGAACAGCATTCTTCAGATGTTTGCTTTAGTTCTTGTCTCAGATTTCAGTTGATGTTACCACATCACAGAGGCCTTCCCTGATCACCCAGTCAGAGTGGCACCCCAGTCACTCTCCATATTGCCTTGCTCATTGTTTTCATAGCATTAATGATGATCTAAAACAATTGTTTGTATTTTATCTTTCTCTCTCCCTCCCTACCTCTCATCTTGCTAATATAAAGGTCCTTGAGAGTAGGACCATATTTGTGTAGCATTAAAGTGATTGTCATATGATATGAAATCAACAAATATTTCTTAAATAAATTAATTAAATGTGTATTTTATAAGACAGGAAACAACAATAAGAAAACTAGAAAGCAGGAATCTAATACTCGCATGCCTTAGGTATGTAATAAATTTTGTGTGTTCTTTTTTTGTAAAAGAGAAAAGAATATAGAAGCCATTCTGGGTACACTGTTTCTCTAATGCAAAGTTTGCTTTTTCTATGCTTTCTGACTAGATATAAGATTCCAGAGTCTAGGTTTATCATATTCTGTATATTTGCTGAGCCAAGTATAATGCATGACACATTGTAGATTAATGAGTATATTTCCTATTGGTCACCAATTTCTCAGTAATTAGTCAATAAATTGGGTTTCTGGTGTCAAAAGGGTATGGAGGTCTTCTGTGGGTATAAATTAGCGCCTAAAGCATTCAAGGTATAATGTCATTTTTTCATTTTTTCAAAATAAAATTGTAATTTGAGGTAAACTATCATTTTGCATCTGTGTTGGCATTTAAATGTTATTGAGCTCTTGGATAATTTTGGCAATATGACAAAGAATTTTGCCATAAATTAGGTAAGATTTAAAGTCTTCCTGGAAGTTGATTCATATTTGATAGAGAAAAGATGCAGGATTTATTCACCAATTCAGACCCTTAGTGCTCTAATTTTAACTATTAGATCACCAGAAATCAATCTTCCTAGACAAAATTAATATACTTCTGCTGGGTGTGGCAGTGCACACTGTAATCTTGGTAGGAGGATCACAAGTTTGAGGCCAGCCTCAGAAACTTAGCAAGGCCCTAAGCAACTTAGCAAGATCCCACCTCAAAAGAGAAAATAAAAAGGGCATCACAAGATATTTCCACTTGTTCAACATTACTTTTTAAAGATGAATTATAAAGGAATAGTTTAGAGTACTAATTAATTCATATAAATTAAAACGAAATGGTAAATGCCTTCTCGATTTCAGTGTCAAGGAAAAAAATCATTTTTTTCCTAGATGAAACCGAACTTCTATAATCACAATTGTCATTCAATGTATTTCCACCTAGTATCCATTAGAGCAGAGATTTTGCCTTATTAGTTCACCATAAACTATTCAGGATTCAATATATATTTATTGTTTAAAATGTAATGGCGTAGAAATCAATGGAGAGAATATTCCAACAAGGAAATAAAGTCAATCACATCACATGCTAATAAGGACTGCAAAATATCCACTCAATACAGCAGTAAGAAGGTTATTTACAAGTTTTGCAAGTATAGTTCATTAAAATCTAGATTACAATGGATTAAGAAGAGAATGATGGGGATGATGTGGAGAAAAGTGTAGAATAGTCTTTTCCAGAAGTTTAGCTATTTAGAGAAAGAAGACTTAGAGTGGTATCTGAGGGGAAAATAAGAAATGGATGAAGGTTACTTTTTGCATTCTAATTTCATACAAGCTTGATTGTAATTGGCAGATGTTACAAACCAGTAATGAGATGTTCTGGAAATGTGGGAGAGATGGGGGATGATTAATAGCATAAAGCATATTTCTCAACTGGTATTCCCATGAATGTGTTATAGGTATGCCACAGCTATTGAGTCACTCACTCACCTTTGGGGTGGACTGTGGGAAGATCCTATATGCCTGAATCTTGAACAACTTCTTT